AAGTCTGCTGCCTCAAAGCTAGAGATGTTGGAGAAAGAATGACGAAACCACAGAGGTGCAGGACAGTCAGAACGGGCAGAAAGAGAGAGGGAATGGGCATTTGGCAATGAAGACAAAAGCTGTTACAAGCAGAAGTAGTCGCACAATTGCTCATTCTACCGAAGAATCTCTTTTCCAACCATTTTACATACAGTCCATTGGGCTCTGCCAATACGGAGCCCTTCTTCACATTTTAGCACGGCTGGGTTTTTGCTGAATGTCCAAACATCTCACTGCGGTTGCATTAGCAGAACTGCACTCTCAGCACCTCTGGATCCACCGATTTTGCAACGATTGTTACCAGTTGCAAAATGCTGACCTCTTATTTGAAAAATGAAAGGAAGGGAGAGAGAAAAGCCAAAGCATATGTTTCCACTGCTCAAGCCAGTTTATTTTTGGTCAGATCAGACCCAATACAGCCACTGTTTCAATATTTAATGTTGCTCTACTACATTAGTTAGCAAATACTTTTGAATCATAACACTCAGCAAAACAATTACTGCCTTACAAGTTCAGTTTGTGACACAGCTTATCCAAGACGTTATGGCACCTAAGCCAGAAAAGCCATAGAATTGGCAAAACTTTTGTCTTTCTTTATAACCAATATATAATCATTTACAACCTCTTCCCAACGGGCTCCGATTGTTAATTTTTTGCAGAGCCAATTGGAAAGAATAACAAAGATGAAGGTGATGATGATTAATAAGGATAATCTCATTTTCTGAATCATGGAAATAAAGCCACTGCTTGAGTTACAAGAAAATTACAAAAATCAGAAGGCAAGAATAATAAGTGAATCAGGTCTTGGGAACTCAGGGACACCAGAAGTCAATATTATGTTTGTTATAGTAGTGAATGAAGTATTCAGTGTGTGGATGTATTTTTGTGGAATGTTTGTTTAGTTGTACAGTAGTTGATGTTTTTTACATTATTTTGTTCTTTTAAAATCAATAAAAACCAATGGAAAAAATATAATCATTTACAAATAGATTGTAGAATGTAATAATGTAGAATGTAGAACGCCTGCAGATTAAAAAAGAACAATTGTAGTCTCTCTCTCTTTTTAGTCTTCTGCCTGGTTTGAGCATTAGACTGTGACTCTGGAGACTAGGGTTCGAATCCTCACTGAACCATGAAAACTACTGGGTGACTCTTGGGCAAGTCACACTCTTTCTTCCCATGGCAATGGGAAGATCTCTCAGAACAAACCTGCCAAGAAAACCCTGTGATAGGTTCTCCTTCAGGTTGCCATACATTGGAAATGACTTGAAGGCACACAACAACAACAACAACAACAACAACAGCAACAACATATTCTGTGCCTGAGACTGTGACCCTTACCTAACCGAGAATAAATTCTTCTATCAAAGTGTCATCAGTTGGCTATTGGACAGCCAGTTTCCTATCAAGATCA